AAAAAAAAAAAAAAAAAAAAAACCAAAGGGCTTCGATAAGACAAACAGCAACAGCAACATACAGCATTAGCTCCCCAGGGGACCAACCCTCTTTCCTCATCCCCGGATTGCAAGGCTATGTTAAAATACCGCCACTTGGTGGCGGCATTCTTCGAATGGAAAATAGCATCAGGTGTGCTGAAATGACAACGGCCTGGGAGTCTTCAGGGCAGAGAGTGGCAATTCACACTGAATCGAAGTAGACCGGACCACAGTCAGCCTGATCTCAGCTTCTCCTTCCTATTCCGGGCTAAAACCAACAGGCGTCTTCCTAAAGCCCGGCACAAGAGTGGGATCCTTCGGTTTCCTGGAGCGACTCACTTGCTGGTCTCTCAGTCATTTTCAACCAATCAATCGTTGCGGGGACAGCCATAGACTATCACTCGCGAGCTGGTCCGCCGGTCAGTCAAAATCCATTCGAATCTGTCCTTGCGGTGGGTAGATCCACGTGTCAGTACCTCCTGCAACCACCGCCCTGTGCGATCTGTAGCCGAATCACCGCAGGAGACGGAAACCACGCCCCTGGGCTCCTCCCCTTCATAGTCTCTCCCAATCATAGATCTGACCTTTCCAGGAGGGCACACTCCCCCGGGGCCACATCTAGTCACAGGCCCCGTTCTTCCAAAACCCTGCCCTATCAGAGATCAAGCTCTCTAGGAATTCCCTACCCATTTAGTGCCCCGCCCCCATGATGGACCCAATCCGAGGACTGGACCTCTCCGAAACCCCGCCCCCCGCTGGCTTCTCCCAGGCTTGCACCACTCGAGGATGAAGCGGCAGATGACGCAATCGGGCCGCGCGGCGAGAAGGTCACACGGTCCTTCGACATGGCGGCGGCGGCGCTGCGGAGTGGCTGGTGCCGCTGTCCGCAGGTGAGCGGCGATGCGGTGCTGGCAGGGCGGGCTTAGGGGTCTTCTGGGCCTTCGGCCACCAAGGCTTTCTTCTTCTCGGGCCCTTGGCCCTCGCGACCCTTGCTTGGGCTTGGTAGAAAGCTTGGGGTTGGGTCGTTGGGTCAGCAGAGGCCAGGACAGGGGGCAAAGAGCGAGGCCTGAGGAAAGGGACCGAGCGCACCGGGCAGGGGGCGGCGATGCGCGGAGCCTGGCAGGAGCTGATCACCCTTCACCCTCTCATCAGACCCGAATAGACGAGAGAGTGAGTGGTAGCTGGGGCGGCGGCGCCCGGTGGATAAAAAGTAGACTGGGGAAGGCAAAAAAAAAAAAAACGTGACATTAACAGCTTGCTAATGCTAGGTCCTCCTCTTCCTGTATGGTTTCTTCTAACATTCTTTGTGGACGTGCAAGAGGTGGTTCGCGCCCTTGCAGGCTCTTGGGTCCACAGGGCAGTGGGAGTCAAGACGTGTAACGCGCACTCAAAAAGTAGCACTTCATATTGCTCACTCTCTAAGTACTTCTTTTTTCTTTTAGTTTTCTTTCTTGCTTTTTATTTCGAGACGGAGTTTTGCTCTTGTCGCCCAGGCTGGAGTGCAGCGGCGCGATCTTGGCTCACTGCAACCTCGGCCCCCCGGGTTCAAGGGATTCTTCTCCCTGAGCGTCCAGAGTAGCTGGGATTACAGGTGCCCACCACCACGCCCGGCTAATTTTTATATTTTTCGTAGAGACGAGGTTTCAGCATATCGGCCAGGCTGGTCTCAAACTCCTGACCTCTTGATTCACCTGCCTTGGCCTCCCAAAGTTCTGGAATTACAGGTGTGAGCCACCGCACCCAGCCAGAATGTGTCTTTTACATCAGGTCAGCCGAGTCTTTGCCCAGAGTGACTCCCCTGCATTATTCTGTTTATAGCCCAACCCTTGAGCGGGACATTGTAGGTTTATTCCAGAGTTGTCCTTGGAGCAATAAGTTATCGACATTTGTCTCTGAAAATCCAGTTCTCTCACCTTTGGAGGCTGTCAGAAATGGGGTGGGCTCTCGAGAGAAGATTGCTTGCCACTAGCATAGAAGCTTAATGTGCCTATTCTCAGGCTACGGGATTAAATTGTACTGGTACATTTAGCCTTCTTTCCACCATGGGTTGGCATTTCCTGGGACCTGTCTGTTTTCCCCAGTTTCAGGGGCACAAGGGTAGATGTAGGCCCTGGAAGTACAGACACAACATTTTCTCTTTCCACCAGCTTCTACTCGATTCTCAGACTTTGGGAAGATTACAGAGGGCCTGGCATGCATCAGGCATAAGGTAGAAATTGGCCAATGAGGCCAGGTGTGGTGGCTCATGCCTGTAATCCCAGCACTTTGGGAGGCCGAGACAGGCATATCACTTGAGGTCATGAGTTCAAGACCAGCCTGGCCAACATTGTGAAAAACCCATCTTTACTAAAAATACAAAAATTAGCTGAGCGTGGTGGCACATGCCTGTAATCCCAGCTAATCGAGAGACTGAGGCAGGAGAATCACTTGAACCTGGGAGGCGGAGGTTGCAGTGAGCTGAGATCGCGCCACTGCACTCTAGCCTGGGCAACAGAGCAGGACTATGTCATAAAAAAAAAAAAAAAAAATTGGCCAGGGAGTTGCAGGTGACTCCTGCTGTTTTGTGTGTGGTCTCCTGCTTCTCAGTCAACCTCTTGTTAGAATGGATCTTTCTTTTCTCTCCCCCCAATTAGAGATGCCTCAGCGGTGGAATCCAGTTTCCTTCCAGCCACAGTCTACCCCATGGGTTGACCTATCAGATGCGCCGGCCGGGCGGAGAGCTGCCACTGGTGAGTGACTCAGGATGCTCAGGACAGCAGACACAGGGGACACCTGAAAATTCAGATCCTGTTGGCAGGAGATGGGTGGAGCTGCAGAGGTGGCTCACACCATCTCAGTGGTGGGCCTTCTGTGTCTGGGGCCTTCAGAGTGACAGAGCCCAGTGTGCCTGGCCTTCGCCGTCCCAGAAACACTTGACCTGCCTCTTGCTTGATGTTAGGGAATAAGATGCTATCAGATAGGCCTATTGTGTTGGTTCTCCTGCTTGGAAGAGACCCCTGTATTGAACTGAATTCTATATTCCTGTGACTTCTGCCCGTGGGTCCCTCACCAACATGGCTATTTCCTTTTCTGGGAGATAGCCCTTTGGGCATTGGTACAGAGTCAGTCACCTTGTCACACCCAGACCTCAGTTTCTCCTGGTTGCTCCTGTTGATGTCTCAGCATCGTGAGGACAGAGACCCAAAACCTGACTCTCTTCCCCAGAGCTGTGCAATTGGGCAGTGTGTACATTCTGTCTCCCTCACTCTCTCTCTGTGCCCAGAGTCTTAGTTCAGCTGCCTCCTTGGTCCTGTCCTGGGGCCATCGTGGGTGTGGGACAGGACCTGTGACTCTTTCCCTTCTCCAGTCCCCGTGACTCTTTCCCTTCTCCAGTCCCCCGTCACACACACCCACACACCTGAGGTTTATAGCCTGAGAGTCTCCGGCAGGGCTGCCATACTCCCATAAGGGAGTATGATCCTGGATAGTCTTGCTTAGAACCTGGTCTTCCCCTGGAGAAAGGCTGGCCAGGGTGGCATCTGAATGGGACTGCAGCCTGCCAGTAGGAGGCCTGGCCACTTGTCCTGGGGAGCAGCACTGGGCTTTTTTAAGTCAGGGTCTCACTCTGTGGCCCAGGCTGGGGTGCAGTGCCACAATCACTGCTCACTGCAGCCATGAATTCCTGGGCTTAAGCAATCCTCCATCTCAACCTCCTGAGTAGCTGGAACCACAGGTGTGCGCCTCCACACCTAAGCACCAAGCTGGATGCAGCTGTTTCTTGTGGCTTGACAGGAGCCAGAGAGGGGATCCCACCTGGAGCTTGTATACCCAACACAGCTGTGGAAAAGTTGACCACAGGTGGCCACTTCCCCCTGATTTGATTATCCTATGATCATTCATTAAGCTGGTTCTCCTTTTTTCTTTTTTTTGAAACAGTCTCACTCTGCTGCCTAGGCTGGAGTGCAATGGCGAGATCTCAGCTCACTGCAATCTCTGCCTCCTGGGTTCAAGTGATTGTCCTGCTCAGCCTCCTGAGTAGCTGGGATTACAGGCATGCGCCACCACACATGGCTAATTTTTGTATTTTTAGTAGAGATGGGGTTTCACCATGTTAGCCAGGCTGGTGTTGGACTCCTGGCCTCAAGTGATCCACCCACTTTGGTCTCCCAGAGTGCTGGGATTACTGGTGTGAGCCACTGCACCTGGCCGCTGTTTCTTTTTTTGAGCCCACCACTGTTATGCACGTGATGAAACAGGGCTGTGAATCTGGTTCTCGGACTGGCCCTGAAGGCTGTGTCTTTGAGCAGTCTGCAAGAGTGACTGTTTATGCAGAGCTGAGCCTTGGCCTCTCTCCTGACCTCAGGGCTGGCCCCCGGGTGTGTTGGTTTTCCCCAAGGGGGAGAACATCAATTGGGGCTCTCTGTGACTATCATCCTGTAGGCTGAGAGGGAGCTCTGAGCCAGGCCCCAGGCCCATGGGTCACATGAGCTAGGTCTGGCCCCAGTTCTCCCAGAGGGACTGGCAGGATTCTAGGACCAGGAAATCCTCCCAGCCCCAGAATCCTAGGGAGGAATCCCCTGTGCTGTGTCCTTTGGGATCAGGAACCCCAGAGTCCTTCCCACTCCAGCACTGTGATGAGGCCCCTTTGGGTGTTGACCTTTGCCTGCTTGAGGTCTCCAGGTGGAGGCTGTCTCCTGTCCTCCGTGTTTCTTTTATTGGAAAAGCAGCCTGCATTTTACTTTGCCTTTTTTTTTTTTTTTTTTGAGATGGGTCACTCTGTCACCCAGGCTGGAGTGCAGTGGCATGATATCAGCTCACTGCAACCTCCACCTCCTGTGTTCACACGATTCTCCTGCCTCAGCCTCCCGAGCAGCTGAAATCACAGGCATGTACATGCCTGGCTAATTTTTGTATCTTTAGTAGAGACAGGGTTTCACCACGTTGGGGAGCCTGGTCTGGAACTCCTGACCTCAAGTGATCCGCCCACCTTGGCCTCCCCAAGTGCTGAGATTACAGGTGTGAGCCACCGCATCTGGCCTTGTTTTGCTTTTACAAGGCTTTATTTTTTTTCTTTCTTTTTCAGACAGACATCACTTTTGTATTTTTAGTAGTTGAGGTTTCACCCGTCTCTACTAAATCTTGGCCAGGCAGGTATTGAACTCCTGACCACCGGCCTCAGCCTCCCAGAGTGCTGGGATGAAAGGCATGAGTCACTGTGCTGGGCCACAAGGCTTTATGTTTTTGAACAGTTTCAGTTTTACAGATAATTGGATACAAAGTACAGAGAGTTGCCACACCCCTCCTCTCCCATGAGCACCCAGTTTTCTGTTCTCCATCTCCTGCATTAGTGTGGCGGATTTGTTACAACTGACTCTATGTTGATACATTATTATTTTTTCTTTTAACAAAAAATAATTTTTTTTATATAGAGATGGGGTTTCTCCATGTTGGCCAGGCTGGTCTTGAACTCCTGACCTCGAGTGATCCACCCACCTTAGCCTCCCAAAGTGCTGGGATTACAGGCATGAGCCACCTCCCCGGCCCCCAATACATTATTATTAACAAACACATGCTTTACCTTCGGTTCCCGCCTAGTGGTGTACATTCTCTGAGCTCTAACAAATATATAATGACGTGTATCCGTGATTACGGCATGATAACAGTAGTTACACTGCTCTAAAATTTTTCTGTGTTCCACCCACTTGTCCCACCCTCTTCCTACCAGCCCCTGGCAACCACTGATCTTTTACTGTATCCATAGTTTTGCCTTTTTCAGAACGACCTATAGTTGGAGTCAGACAGTACGTAACCTTTTGAGATTGGCATCTTTCACTGAGTGTGATAAGCATTTAAGGTCTTTTCATAGCTTGTGAGCTTATTTCTTGTTAGTTTCCCTTTTTTTAAAAAAACTGACTTTTTAAAAAAAAATTTTGTCTGTGAAAGGATATGTGGAAAAAAATTTTTTTATTTATTTTGAGATGGAGTCTCACTCTGTCACCCAGGCTAGAGTGCAGTGGTGTGATCTTGGCTCACTGCAGCCTCTTCCTCCCGATTTCAAGCAATTCTCTTGCCTCAGCCTTCAGAGTAGCTGAGATTACAGGTGCACACCACCATGCCTGGCTAACTTTTGCATTTTTAGTAGAGACAGGGTTTCACCATTTTGGCCAGGCTCGTCTCGAACTCCTGACCTCAGGTGATCCACCCACCTTAGCCTCCCAGAGTGCTGGGATTACAGCTAGTGCTCGACTTACGACCACAGTTGGTTCCGACAGACTGGTTGTAACACAATTTGGTCGTAAGTTGAGTAGGCTATATGCACGCAGAGATGGTAGTGCTGCCGGAAGCTGGTCCACACTGTCGTACACCCAGCTGGGCAACGTTTGCACTGCCAGACGCGGAGCAGTCATGGCTAGCGATTGTGGTCGTAAAGTCGAATGGTCGTAAGTTGCATAGGTCGTAAGTCGATCAATACCTGTATAGGTGTGAACCACCGCCCCTGGCCTGTTTTTTTAAACAGAGTTATGTTGCCCAGGTTAGTCTCAAACTCGTGGCCTTAAGCAGTCCTCCCACCTCAGCCTCCTAAAGTGCTGAGATTATAGGTGTGAGCCACAGCACCCGGCTGAGAGCTCATTTTTTTTTCAGCGCTGAATAATATTCTGTTATCTGGATATACCACACTTTCCACCTGCTGTCTTTTTGTCTTTTATTGTATTTTATTTATTTTTGAGACAGAGTCTCACTTTGTCGCCTAGCCTGGAGTGCAGTGGTGCTCTCTCAGCTCACTGCAACCTCCGCCTCCTGAATTCAAGTGATTGTCCTGCCTCAGCCTCCTGAGTAGCTGGGACGACAGGCGCCTGCCACTATGCTCAGCTAATTTTTTTTTTTTTTTTGGTATTTTTAGTAGAGACGGGATTTCATCATGTTGGCCAGGCTAGTCTGGAACTCCTGACCTTGTGAGCCACTCGCCTTGGCCTCCCTCAGTGCTGGGATTACAGGTGTGAGCCACTGCACCCAGCCTGTCTTTTAATATTATTATAAAAGAGATAGCTAATCATCATTAAATGTATATCAACAGAAAAGAGAACATTTAAAAAAAAAGTCTCTCAGAGGCTGGGCGCAGTGGCTCATGCCTGTAATCCCAGCACTTTGGGAGGCCAGAGGCAGGCAGATCACAAGGTTAAAAGATGGAGACCATCCTGACCACATGGTGAAACCCCATCTCTACTAAAAATACAAAAGTTAGCTGGGCGTGGTAGCACGAACCTGTAGTCCCAGCTACTTGGGAAGCTGAGCCAGGAGAATCACTTGAACCTGGGAGGCAGAGGTTATAGTGAGCTGAGATTGCACCACTGCACTCCAGCCTGGTGAAAGAGTGAGACTCCTCTCAAAACAAAACAAAAATCCCTTAGAATCCCTCTGTGGGGCTTTTTGTTGTATGTTCTTCTACTGTGTTCTTTACTTTTTTTTTTTTTTTGAGACAGAGTCTTGCTCTGTCGCCAGACGCCAGACTGGAGTGCAGTGGCATGATCTCAGGTCACTGCAACCTGCGCCTCCTGGGTTCAGGCAATTCTTCTGCCTCAGCCTCCTGAGTAGCTGGGACTACAGGCCAGCTAATTTTTGTATTTTTCGTAGAGAGGGGGTTTCACCATATTGGCCAGGATGGTCTCAATCTCTTGACCTCATGATCTGCCTGCCTCGGCCTCCCAAAGTGCTGGGATTACAGGCGTGAACCACTGTGCCCGGCCCTACTGTGTTCTTTAAATTTTTTTTCTTTTGTGTTCTTTCTAGTCCAAATCATATTCTTCTGGAAACAGAAAAGGCTTTCTGTCTGGCTTGCTAGATAATATCAAACAAGAATTAGCCAAAAACGAAGAAATGAAAGAAAGTATAAAAAAATTCCGCGATGAGGCCAGGAGGCTGGAAGAATCCGACGCACTCCAGGAGGCCAGAAGGAAATACGTGAGTCCCTTTGCTGCCTTATTTTTCCCCCACCCAGGCTGGAATGCAGTGGCACAATCTTGGCTCACCGAAACCTCCGCCTCCCAGGTTCAAGCGATTCTCCTGCACAGCCTCCCAAGTAGCTGGGATTACAGGCATGTACTACCACGCCAGGCTAATTTTGTATTTTTAGTAGAGGCAAGGAGTCTCCGTGTTAGTCAGTCTGGTCTCGAACTCCCGACCTCAGGTGATCCGCCCGCCTGGGCCTCCCAAAGTGCTGAGATTACAGGCATGAGCCACCCTGTCAGGTTCCTTTGTTTCTTATTTTTCCTGGTTGACATATTTGTTTCCAGAGCCAGGGTTACTCCAGGCCAGCTTCAGCCAGAGGAGCTCAGGGCCAGACGGTTGGGGGCAGGGTGGCTCGTGAGGAAGTGAGGTCACTGCTCTGATGCACTAATGAGAGGCAGCCAGGGGACAGGAGCAGGTCCCCGGGCCTCTGGGTTCTGCCTTGAAACCACGCATCATTCTATGCACCTTCAAGCATGGTCCCCAGATCAGCAGTTGTGGCTGCTCCTGGGAGCGGGTGCCAGATGCAGACGCTCGCACCCTCCCAAACTGCCAGGCCGACGTCCACATCTTCACAGGACCCCAGGCAACGCATGCATATCAGCTGTGGGACGCAGTGCTCCTGAGAGCTCCCAGCTGTCGCCCTCTGAGTGAAGCCGGGTGGAAACTGGGTGATGGTGCTGGTGTAATTACTTTATTTTATGAGATGGGATCTTGCTCTGTCACCCAGGCATCATTGCTCTGGAGTGCAGTGACGTAATCTTGACTTACTGCAACCTCCACCTCCTGGGTTCAAGCTATTCTCCTGCCTCAGTCTCCCGAGTAGCTGAGATTATAGGCACCTGCCACCACACCCAGCTGCTGATTTTTCTTTTCTTTTTTTTTTTTTTTTTTTTTTTTTTTTTTTTTTTTTTTTTTTTCCTTTTGAGATAGAGTCTTACTCTGTCACCCAGGCTGGAGTGCAGTGGCATGATCTCAGCTCACCACAACCTCTGCCTTTTAGGCTCAAGCAATTCTTCTGCCTCAGCCTCCTGAGTAGGTGGGATTACAGGCACGCACCATTACTGCTGAGCTGATTTTTGTATTTTTAGTAAAGACAGGGTGTTACCGTGTTAGCCAGGTTGGCCTTGAGCTCCTGGCTTCAAGTGATCTGTGTTCCTCAGCCTCCCAAAGTGCTGGGATTACAGGAGTGATCCAGTGCGGCTGGCCCTGTAGTTTGTTTGTTTGTTTTGGTAGAAATGGGGTTTCACCATTTTGGCCAGGCTAGTCTCGAACTCCTGGCCTCAAGTGATCTGCATTCCTCAGTCTCCCAAAGTGTTGTGATTACAGGTGTGAGCCACTGCTCCCAGCCTGTGATTATTCTCTTCTTGAGCAGCTGCCAAGGCCCGGCTTCTGGAAATGGCTCTGCTTTCCTTTATTTGTAAGGGCCCTTCGAGGCAGGTACAGTGTCCCCAGCTTACCAATGAGCAGCTGAGCCTCAGAGATGCAGGCACCTGCCAAAGGTCCCTTGGGGTTTGTTTTCGTTTGACTTAGTTTGTGGGTTTTTTTGTTTTGTGTGTGTGTGTGTGTTTTCTTTGAGACAGAATCTTGCTCTGTTGCCCAGGCTTGAGTGCAGTGGCATGATCTCGGCTCACTGCCCCTCCGACTCCTGGGTTCAAATGATTCTCCTGCCTCAACCTTCCAAAAAGCTGGAATTACAGGCATGTGCCACCACGAGTGTCTAATTTTTGTATTTTTAGTAGAGAGGGGGTTTCGTCTTGTTGGCCAGGCTGGTCTCAAAATCCTGACCTCAGGTGATCTGCCCACCTTGGCCTCCTAAAGTGCTGGGATTGCAGGCATGAGCCACCATGCCTGGCCTAGTTTGATTTTTTGAGACAGGGACTTGCTCTGTCACCCTGGCTGGAGTGCAATGGTGCCATCATGGCTCACTACAGTCTTGACCTCCCCATGCTCAGGTGATCCTCCTACCTTAGCCTCCTGAGAAGGTGTAACTAAAGGCATGGAATACCATGCCTGGCTAATTTTTTTTATTTTTTGTAGAGACAGGGTCTCGCCCTGTTGCCCGTGCTGGTCTCGAATTCCTGGGCTCAAGTGATCCTCCCATCTCAGCCTCTCAAATTGCTGGGACTATAGCTGCACCATGCCCAGCCCCTCTTTAGCATTAAGGCAGGGGTCATCTGAGGACGGTGCAGGCCGGGTTTGGTGGGATGGATGATGTGGGAGACATAAGACCAAGCTGTGGTGGCTGGAGGCTGGATGAGGGGCAGAGTGATGACAGGCAAGGTCACCTCCTGCCACCCAGTGAAAGGCAAACTGGGCCTCCTGTTCTCAGGAGGTAGCTGCCACGCCGGAGTCTGAGTCTGCCAGCCTTCTGGGCAGGGAGCTCCTAGCTGCTGAGACCCTCAATCTGAGCCACATGGGCCATCGGGGGCCCTGGAGGCAGCGCATGCTGGCAGGCATGGGGAGGGAGGGGCTGCCGAGAAAATGCTTCTTGGACCTTTGGCTATAAGAGAAATGTCACTGCTGTATCAAAACAAACAGACTTAAAGACACAAAACTTGGCCGGGTACAGTGGCTCACACCTGTAATCCCAGAACTCTGGGAGGCAGGTAGATCTCTTGAGGTCAGGAGTTTGAGACCAGCCTGGCCAAGGTGGTAAAATCCCATCTCTACTAAAAATACAAAAATTAGCCAGGCAAAGACACAACACTCTTTACCTAGAAAACCATGGAGTCAGAAACCGTGCGGACAAGTGAGGTGCTACGGAAGAAGCTTGGGGAGCTGACAGGCACCATGAAGGAGGTAAGAGTCCCACACCACCTGGAGCCCCTGGGGGCCACTGCAGTCCCCCTGCTGCTGAAGGAAGAGTCGGCTCCCGGGTGGGGGGTGACTTGGCAGCAGTGGCTGACATGGGGCCTGGGACCACCCTCGCGAAGGCTTCTGGAGTTCCCCAGGCACACACAGGGTGAGGTCAGACTGGTGACTTTGCATGACAGTTGACCCTGTAACTCAGCAGCAGTAAGCCAGGACTGGAGGAGAAAATGAAAATGTTTTTCCAGCCTAAAAATAGGGGAGGGGCCTCTTCCATCCCCAGGCAAGGGTGGAGGCAGGAGGGAGGGCTCCTGGGGTGCTGCGGGCTCTCCTCTGTCACCTGTTCTGTCTGGGTTTGCCCAGCATCGGGTGTCCTCACTGCCCTTCTTCCCCCCGGGTCCTCTCCTTGGGAATCCTTGCTGCTGAGCATTTCCTCTGTCTTCAGAGGACTCCTGCCCATTTTCAGGAGGGGCCCGTTGACCTAGCATCTCACCCCTAGCCCAGGGACTAGCACCCAGGAAGCCATGGTGGTGTTCTCGTGGCTCTGGCAGTTCTGTGCGCCTCAGGAGCCAGATCTGCCCTTCCCTCCAGCAGGAGTTCATTTCTCCTGTATCCCCTGCCCCTGGGGCCGGTGCCAACGCCTCCTCTCTGTCTGTCTCAGTAGAGCCTTCATGAAGTCAGTAAAAGTGATCTTGGCCGGAAAATCAAGGAGGGCGTGGAGGAAGTGGCCAAGACCGCCAAGCAGTCAGCTGAGTCAATGTCCAAAGGTGGGGAGAAGCTGGGCAGGACGGCGGCCTTCAGAGCCCTCTCCCAGGTGAGCCCAGGCCTGGGCCAGGGTGTGCGGCCCGGGGCGGCCAAATCCAGACACCCACCGCAGGCCTGCTGTGCCTCTCTCACAGGGGGTGGAGTCCGTGAAGAAGGAAATTGACGACAGTGTCCTGGGGCAGACAGGGCCCTACCGAAGGCCCCAGCGACTCCGGAAGAGGACGGAGTTTGCAGGAGAGAAGTTCAAGGAGGAGAAAGTGTTTGAACCAAACGAGTAGGTGCCAGCCCATGGCCTTCATTGCCCCATTTTGAGCAGCTGTCACTACCGTCTATTTTGGGGGCCTATCAAAGGTTACTTCCAGAGTCCGTTTCTCGAATTTGCCTTCTGCTCAAGCTTTCCGGCACCCTTGAATTGGAGGGTGAGAGGTGAGGGCGGGGTCCTCGCAGCCCCTGGGTTTGAGGTCTCAGCTGCCACTTACCCTCAGCGCCCACCCTCTTCCCCAGGGAGGCCCTGGGAGTCGTTCTGCACAAGGACTCCAGGTGGTACCAGCAGTGGAAGGACTTCAAGGAGAACAACGTGGTGTTCAACCGTGAGTGAGGGCACCTTGGAGGGCGGGTGGCAGTGGCCTGGGCAGCCGACCGACCACACGGTGATCCCCCTGCACTGGCTGCAAGACAGCCCCATTTTGCAGAGGAGGAGATTGGGGTCCCAGTGGGCCGGTCACTTCCTTCAGGTCACCTGATGGTGCGGCTGTAGATTCTGCTGCCAGAAGCCAGGTGCTCCCTCAAGCATCGTCAGGGCCCCAGAACCAGCAGCAGGCCCCTGTCCCTTGTCCTGTGAGGACCGCTAGAGACATGTGTTTCCTTTGTAGTGAAAGCAACAGCCAGCAGGGTGGTGCTCCATAATTTACACAGCCCTGTTAGGGCCACGGCCAGGTAGGTAGGCAGGCAGCAGTCCCCAAGCACAGATGAAGACACAGGCCCACAGCCAACCCCTCCTGGACCCCACCTGCATCAGGGTGGACCCTGCAGGGGCCACAGGGAGCCCCTGGAAGCTGCGAGGGAGGGGCGTGTTTCTGAAAGGGGCCCCTTCTCCTCCAGCACCTGCCCCATCCTCCGCAGGGTTCTTCGAGATGAAGATGAAGTACGACGAAAGCGACAATGCACTCATCCGGGCGTCCCGGGCCCTGACGGACAAGGTCACCGACCTGCTCGGTGAGTGAGTCACCCCCAGGTTTGCAGGCTGCTGGTGGGGTGGGGTCCGAGGCCCAGCCAAACTCCAGGCTCTGCTCCTGCAGGGGGCCTGTTCTCAAAGACAGAGATGTCGGAGGTACTCACGGAGATCCTCCGGGTGGACCCGGCCTTCGACAAGGACCGGTTTTTGAAGCAGTGTGAGAACGACATCATCCCCAACGTCCTGGAGGTGGGTGCCGTGTGCCCTCCCAGGCCGCGGGTCCTGGCTCCACCACCTCCGCCACCTCAGCCGGCATCCTGGGTGCTGCCGGAACTCCACGGCCGAGGCTGTTTTCTGAGGAGGGTGGTTGCACACGGGCTCCTGCCCAGCTGCAGCTGCCTCACGGGCTGTGCCCAACATGCCTCCTGGGCCTTACTGCTGCCTCCGGTCTCCCTCACTCCTCCTGCCTGAGGCTGTTCCTTTGAGGTTGCTGGGAGCAGCTGCTGGAGGCTAGAGTTTGTCTCCAAGGTGCCTGGAACCTCTTACCCTTGAGAGAATTGGGCGTCTGTCCTCAGGCATCAGAGCGGGCCTCGGGCTGCCTCTGACCCAGACCTGCAGCCAAGGGGGTTCCCTCACGGTGCTGTCCCTGGCAACCAAAGCCCTCCTTGGGTCTATAGACAAGGAGGGTGTCTTGCTTAAGGTCGTGCTGCAGCCTGACCCCCGAAAGCCTCTCCCCGAGCTTGTTGGCCTCTTCCCTGCAGTCTCTGCCCCTCTGCAGCCCTGGGGATGCAGGAGGAGCCTGGACACCTTCGACCCAGTCAAAGGAGTTCCTTCATGGGACTTTCCATCCTTGGCCCCACCGGCCCCCGCCTGACCCTCCTCTTCCTCCTCCAGTTTCCCTTGTCCTTCCCCACTTCAGGCAGGGCTAAGAGGCGGTGCAGATGGGCGCCGTGGCCCAAAACAGCAGCCTGAGCGCTGCAGTGCCTTCCAGGATGGGTGATGGGTGCTGAGTGTTCCGGCCACCCTCGCCCTGCCGCTCACAGCTTTCAGCGCGGCATCCGGCTCCTTCCCGCTCTTCTCCCCGCTCCAGGCACCTCCCTCCCCCTCACCGGATCCAGCCCCAGCTCTGGGATCCTGTGGAAACAGCGCCTGGCCTAGGCTCGCCCCCTGCAGGCCACCCTTCCCTCTCCCTGCCCCCAGCCGCTAGGAGGCAACCAGTCCCATGGTGGGCCTTGCAGTCCAAAATATGGTCTCCTGGGGGGACAGAGGATGTGGGCCCATGGAGCCACAGTGTGGGTCCTCATCTCCCTGGCTCGGATTCCTGGCCAGGCTGAAAGCTGTGTCCCCAGCCACCCTCTTTCTACACCAGGTTCCAGGGGGGTCCCACCGCGGGTTGCCTCCTGGGTGGTCGCCTGCAGCCTGCCCTCCACCTGCACCCAGGAGAGAGCCAGGCACGCACACCATCAGGGACTCGGCTCCCAGGGCCTGGAGAGGGACACCCAGTGCCACAGCTCCACCCGCACCCCACAGGTGGCAGCCGGGGGTATCCGAGGAACTCCCCCCCCACCGCCACCGCCCACCACTGGAGAATGTTCTCAGGACTTTGCCTGATGCCTTAATAGCCCACTGTCGTTCTGGCACTTATTTTTCTCTTTCCTTTTTAGGCTATGATTTCTGGGGAGCTTGACATTCTCAAAGACTGGTGCTATGAAGCGGTGAGTACTTTTTTTTTTTCTCTTTAAGGCCTAAAAAAAATTACCATGGAGAAGTTCTGCTTCGGTGGCTCCATTGGGGTAACTCCCAACAGACAGGACCTGGGCTCCCGGTGGGGGAATCCTCCTGTCTCACTCTCCAAGAGCCTGACACCCCACCCCACCCTGCCTCCTATTCCTCAGCGTGTGACACATCTGGGCTCTCAGGCTGGGCACCGTGTCACCCGCCAGTCCTTTGCTTTCAGACTGTAAACTCCTCAGGGATAATCCCTCTCTGGGCTTGTGTCTAAGAGATGGCTGGGGGTGTCCCCCATGCTCGTGAGAGATCACAAAGCTGCCAGTTTTACTGGGTCTTTTTTTCCCCTCCAGTCTTTTTTTTTTTTGAGACGGAGGCTTGCTCTGTCACCAGGCTGTAGTGCAGTGGTGCGATCTTGGCTCACTGAGGTTCAAGGGATTCTCCTACCTCAGCCTCCTGAGTAGCTGGGACCACAGGCATGTGCCACCATGCCCAGCTAATTTTTGTATTTTTTTGTAGAGACGGGGTTTCACCATGTGGCTAGGATGGTCTCCTGGACCTAGTGATCTGCCTGCCTTGGCCTCCCAAAGTGCTGAGATTACAGGCTAACATGGAGGCTGAGATTACAGCCTCCATGCCCAGCCTTCCTCCAATCTTAAAATAATTTTGGTTAGGTCTGGGTATGGTGGCCCGTGACTGCAGTCCCAGCAAGGCAAGGTGAGAGATCACTTAAGCCCAGGAGTTGAAGACCAGCCTGGGAAACATACCAAAATCCTGTCTCTACAAACAAATTTAAAATGAACCAAGTGGCAGGGCTCGGTGGCTCTGTAACGCCAGCACCTTGGGAGGCCAAGGCAGGTGACTGCCTGAGCTCAAGAGTTCGAGACCAGCCTAGGCAACATGGTGAAATCCCATCTCTGTTAAAATAAACAGCCAGGCGTGGTGGAGCATGTCTAATCCCAGCCACTGGGGAGGCTGACACAGAATTGCTTAAATATGGGAGACAGAGGTTACAGTGTGCCTAGGTCATGCCACTGTACTCCAGCCTTGGTGACAGAGCAAGATTCTGTATCCAAAAAATAAAAAAAAGAGTCAAGTGTGATGGCAGGCACCTGTTGTCCTAGCTATTAGGGAGACTGAGGTGGGAAGATCACTTGAGCCCAGGAGAGGTCGAGGCTGGAGTGAGTCATCACACCACAGCACTCCAGCCTGGGCGACAGAGCAAGACTCTGTCACTTATTGTTATTAAGGAAATAGTCGGCTGGGCGCGGTGGCTCAAGCCTGTTAATCCCAGCACTTTGGGAGGTTAAGGTGGGCGTATCACCTGAGGTCAGGAGTTCAAGAGCAGCCTGGCCCACATGGTGAAACCCCATTTCTACTAAAAATAGAAAAAGAAGCCAGGCCTGGTGGCAGGTGCCCTATAGTCCCAGCTACTCAGGAGGCTGGGGCAGGAGAATCGCTTGAACCCGAGAGGCAGAGGTTGCTGAGCCAAGATTGTACCACTGCATTCCAGCCTGGGTGACAGGGCAACACTGTCTCAAAAAAAAAAAAAAAAAAGAAGAATTTTAGCGAGGGAGAGTCCCAGGAGAGGTGACTGTAGCCATGAAGTAAAACGAGGTCTCCAGTGGGGCCTGACTACCCTGTTTCAGGTGGCTGCAGTGGCCTGGGGTGCGGGCTGGGGCCGGGGTCAGGGTGAATGTGTGTCTCACACGTGACTGTGGGAGGTGGGAGCCAAGTGGGGTTTTAACGCGTCGCCCACCCCACTTCCCAGACCAGAGCAGAGTCTCTGTGCTCACCTCCCAGGGGTTGTGACAATGAAGTGTGGTCACAGAAACCAGGGCAGTGCTGGCCCCGGGCCAGAGGAAACCCACAGAGATAACCCTGGCAACCAGACAGCCCCTGGAAAGATGGCGGGAGCTTTCCTCAGTGACCCCCAGCCACAACCTGTGGGGCACAGGTGGGGGCTGCAGCACTGGGTGCCCCCCGCAGGCCCCGGGAGCCTCTAGGGTGTGCTGAGTTTCTCAGACCCGTTAGCTGTCCTCATGACACAATCCTGAAACACAGATCAAAACAAAACATTGACAGTCTTCGCACACCAGGAAGGAGCTGTGTGTCCTGATGAGACCCCAGCTGCTTTTCGGAGTCAAGGTTGGGGTCCTGGGGCCACTGGCAGCACCGTGCCCAGCTGTCGGCAGCTGGGCAGCCTCCCCGTCCCTGGCAGCCTCCCCGTCCCTGCCCCTGTCCCCATCCCTGTGGGGCTCTCAGCTCCTGCGTCTTCACACCACCTCATCTCACCCTGTTCGCTCCCTGACCTGTGTGGTTTCTTGCCCCGGCTTCTTCGTATTAAGTGATCCAGATCTTGGCTAATTCTGTTCTGTACCCAGCTCATAAACAACTTGGAAAACGCAGAGGAGAACATGTCAGATTTTCTTTTTAAATACTCCCCTGCATGGTGACTAATCCAGCAGGCATTTATGAGTTTCGATGTGGATTTTTTTTTTTTTTTTTTGGTTTTTGGTTTTGTTTTTACCTTGGGATCATCACGCCACAGCTGACTCGCTTTGTCAGGGAGCTCCTGGTGCCCCCGGAAACACAGCTGAAGGTCCAGCCACGTCCACAGAGGTGTTGTTTTTAAAATGTCACCTTTAAGAAACCGAACAAGTAGGATTGGCTGGGTTTTTTTTTGTTTTTTTTTCCTCTCCTCAGCGGATCAGTCATTTCCATAAAAAGTAGATGCTATCAGAACATCTTCTCTGTTACGGTTTCATGCCAAGCCCAGAGAAGCTTCCAGTGAAAACGTGTCTCGGGGGCTGCTTCCGGTGCCTGGCGCAGGCACAAGGGGGTTGAGGGTGACACTGGGGCTGGTCAGTGACAGAGGCAGCCTCGGGCTGAGGACAGATCCTAGAAGAGGCGTTTGATCTCAGGCCAAGATTCAGAGTGTGGTGAATATGAAAGTATTAGAGATCAGCCAAGGGGCCGCCCGCTTAGCCCTGGGAGTGGATTTGGGGTTTTGTTCCAAGAGAATCACCCACTTTGCTGATTAATCCTGTTTTCATTGGTTCATCTGGAGAGAGTGCGGTTCCCAGGAGAGGGAAATGTGTGATCTGGGCCAGTAAGTGGGTGGCACTGCCTCCCCACTTGGACCTGGGTTCTTGGCCTCTGCCATTGCTGGCTGGCAGCAGGGCACCCGGGCGCCAGGGTGTGTGGGCAGTGGCTCTGTGTGGCATGGCGCCCGCTCTGGGTGGCATCACACAGGTGGGTCGGTCTCTCGTTGCAGACTTACAGCCAGCTGGCCCACCCCATCCAGCAGGCCAAGGCGCTGGGCCTCCAGTTCCATTCTCGCATCCTAGACATCGACAACGTTGATGTGAGCACCTCTTTCGCCAGGGCCTAGGCCACCATCAGGGGTGGGGACTCTGGCCCAGACAGGGCCCAGGAGGTGGCCTCTCCAGGGGCTGGGGGCTGTGTGCCAATCCCAGAGGCCTTGGCTTGTCCGAGGGGAGGGTCTCGAGGGAGGCCTGGTCCTGGTCTGAGGAGCAGGGCCCAGGGGGAGGGGGCGGTGCTGGGCCTGGTGCTGGAGCCTTCTCCCAGCAGGGCCTGGGTGCAGGGGTTTCTGCCTCCAGGGGAGCAGCTGGGCAGTCCCTGAAGCCCACCTGCCCTCTTGGCCCCTCTGCAGCTGGCCATGGGCAAGATGATGGAGCAAGGGCCGGTGCTGATCATCACCTTCCAGGCACAGCTGGTGATGCTGGTCAGGAACCCCAAAGGAGAGGTGGTAGAGGGTGACCCGGTGAGTGAGGGAGTGGGACTGGGCAGGCACACAGCATTGCCGGTCCCCAGGATGTGTGTGTGGCCACCCGGCAGGGACACCAGCTCAGAGCTGGAAGCTCTGGGACCAGGTGGGGATGCGGAGAAACCTGGGCCGGAGTTTGGGGTTGAGGGAGGTCAAAGACCAGCAGACCTGTCCTTACCAAGGCCTGAGTGCTTCCTGAGTCGAGGCGGCTGTGCCGGCTTCTGCTCCCAGCCCCTGGGGAGGTTGTGGGTGGCTCCTGCCCCACAGAGCCTGGCCCCTCCCAGAGCGGCCTGGGCCCCTGCACATCTCTCAACTGTGCCCCTCCCACCCCACCCCACAGGACAAGGTGCTGCGGATGTTGTATGTGTGGGCGCTCTGTCGAGACCAGGACGAGCTCAACCCCTATGCAGCCTGGCGGCTCCTGGACATCTCTGCCTCCAGCACAGAGCAGATCCTCTGACTATGGCCCAGAAGCCAGGGAGCCCCAGGCTGGGTCATCAGGCGCAGAGGCACCGTGACACCACCTGCGGCAACTCCAGACCTCTGGGAACAAGACTGCAGGCTCTGCCCCCAGCTCTGCCAGAACGGCTGCAAGACCAGCTGGCCGGGGAGTGGGTGGCGGGCGGCTGCTGGAGATACTCTCCCTGCGACTGGAGACACTCCCCCCAGGGCTGGCCCCTGCCCTGTCGCTCTGCCCTGCAGGGGTCCCGAACCTGGTCACCCGGGGTGCACACAGGCCACATAGTGCCAAGAGGCTCCAGGGACTCCCCCAGCAGCAGGATGGGACCTGGGCCCCACCGTTCAATGGCCCACTGGCCGTCTCAGCCAAGCCACTTTAGGTCCATTTTTTATTTTAACAATGCTTTTCCAATCTGTGCATAAGCCTGAGATTTGGAAAGAATAAAACACCGAATTGCAGAAGAGCAGCTCCGGAGTCTAAAGTGTCTTCCCTGGCGCGGGAGTGGCCGTAGTGAGGATAGGTGTGAGAGCAGACAGCTGCTCTGGGAGGCTGTCAAGGTCGAGCAAGGAACTGCAGCCGCAGCGTGTGAATGCTGTGCCCAGGGCTGGACCCTGTTTCTAGGGAGGAGGAGGAGGCCAGTGACAGACAGAACTAGGGGCCTTGCTCGTCACAGTGACCTGCCGGAGCTCTCTTGAGGATTGAGGTCCCCAGGGCCTGGGGAGTTTGATCACCCATATGAGTGTTTTAGGGACACTGAGGTCCCCTTCCCAAACAAGGAGTCTGGAGTGAGATCTATGGCGGAGGAGAATGCAGGCGCAGGCAGGCTGGGGTGTCCGAGATGGCAGTGGAGGTGGGAGTGGCAGCTGCCCACGCCCCAGCGAGGTCCCGAGTGCTCGCGGATCCCCGGGGCTAGGGCTCGGCCCTCCCGCAGGCCGGGGCGGGGTCGCGGGCCCGCGCGCCGCTCCCTGCGCAGCCTCCGCCCCCCGTTGCCCCGCCCCCCGCTGCGGCCCCGCCCCCGTCGCCATGGGAACAGCCGCGGCGGCCCGGCTCGCGCGCTGCTTGCCTGCCTCGGTCTCCGCCGCTCCAGGGGCGGGTGGGGTGGGCTGCGCCAGAGCCCGGGCCGCCGCCGCCGCTGGGGAGAGACCGAACGCGGAGCCGGCGCGGGTCCCGGAGAGAGTGCGGCCGCCGGGCGGTCGGTCCCAGTCCGGGTCGAAGCCAGGGTGAGGGGCGCGCTAGGGCGGGGACGGTGGGGGAGGGGGTCCCGGGCCGCCGAGAACAAAGGGAGCGGGGAGCAGGGGCCGCAGGGACCATCTCCACGCCGCGCGCCCTGGCGGCGGCCGCGCGTTCGCACCTGTTGTGCGCGGCTCGGGCCGGGTGCGGCTCTCCCGGCTTTCAGCGCCCCCACCTGCGCGCACGGCCGGAGTTGGGTCCCCGCGTGGTGGTGGCGGCGATCGGGCTGGCCGGGCATGGGCGTAGCCCGGGGACTGAGGCACGGGCGGGGGATGGGGTCGGGGACGGTAAGGGGGGCGGCGGCAGCGGCAGGAGGGGGCGAAGCGGAGGAGGCACGGGAGGGAGGGCGCAGCCTCAGCCTTGGCGCCCCGGGCGGGTCCCCTCCTCCGCAGGGCGCGCGGCGATGTGAGCCATGAGCGCGACGTGGACTCTGTCACCGGAGCCCCTGCCGCCGTCGACGGGGCCCCCGGTGGGCGCGGGCCTGGACGCCGAGCAGCGCACAGTGTTCGCCTTCGTGCTCTGCCTGCTCGTGGTGCTGGTGCTGCTGATGGTGCGCTGCGTGCGCATCCTGCTCGACCCCTACAGCCGCATGCCCGCCTCGTCCTGGACCGACCACAAGGAGGCGCTCGAGCGCGGGCAGTTCGACTACGCGTTAGTGTGAGGGGCGCGGCGCCCCCCAGCCGGCCCTGCGCGGGGTCTCCCAGGCTCGGCCCGGCGGGGGGCGCCGCGGGGCCAGGACTGCCCTCAGGATCCCTCCCCGGAGCCCCCAGCCCGGACTGGGGAGGGAGTTGGGAGAAGCCCAGCCCCTCCCCCTCGAGACCCTTCCCATGTCCCCTCCTGGCCTGGCCGGAGCCCCACCTCGTGCCTTTATCCACCCTCTCCCTTCCTCTCTGCGCATCTCACCCGCCCGGCTTGCCTCCCCCGCCCCACCCGCCCCGCCGACTCTGAATCCCGGGAGAGAGGAAGACCCCGCACCGCTCCCTCCCCAGCGTTTAAGTGGCTCTGCTATTGTGCGTTCCTAGAAGTGGGGACCCCCTTGTCCCTCCTCCCCTGTCGTCTGGCCGTCGTCAACCCCACCTTGACTGAGTGTTGCGCCCGTCCTTGGGCTCTGGCCCTGCGGGGCAGGCTCTCCCGGGCCCACGGGGCGGACGCTGCATACCAATATGCCCTGCACCGCCTGTCCTGGAGACGGAGCCGGAAAGCCTGCCATGGCGGCTGCGTCGAGGATGCGTGGCGCCTGCCATGGCGGGAGAGCGCGGGCAGGCGCCTTCCCGCCCCCAGCCCGGGCCCCAGGACAGGTCAGCGCGCCCTGCCCCGGCGCCCACCGCTGCCCCCCATCCGCCTTCTTGCCACTTCCTCCTGATTCCCCTGCCACGCCTCCCGCAACCCTCCCATTCCGTTCCATTCCTCCCTGCCTCTGAGCCGAAGATGATAATAAAAGCTATTATTGAGCGCTTACTGCATGCCAAGCAGCGTGCTGAGTTGGCGCCTCCTGTTTATAGCCTGTCTCCTCTTAGGGATCGTGAGAATGAGCCAGGCCCCGTTAGCATTCCTATTCTACAGGCCCAGGGACCGAGGGCCAGGCAGCTCCAGTGACTTGCCCAGTCTGGTAGGGCTGGAAGTGGAACCCAGGTCTGGCTTCTGCATGTTTCTAAAGCTTCCCAGAGATGCAAAGACAACAAGATCACAAGCACCTTTCCCCCAGCTTTGTGGGGGCTGGTGTGTAACCATCTCCATGCTCCCGGCTCCCTCTCATCCACACACAATTCTATTGACCTGGGGAGGCTCTGGGGGTGGTGAGAAATAACCCTGCGGGGAGGCGGGAGGTGCAACCCCCATTCCTGGAGGGAGGCTAGGACTGCAACTGCAGCCCAAGCCTCCTAAGCCTCCTCCCCCTGCCCACCACCATTGGCAGCGTTTGTGGGTCTGGCACGGTGGGGCAGTGAGCACCAACGGACGGAGTGGGCTGGCTCCAAGGCCCTCCCAGGAGATGTGCAGCCTGGAGGAGTCGTGTGCAGTGTGTGTGGGGAGGAATGAGTGTTTCTATAAAAGGAAGGCTGGGTGAATGCACAGGCTCCACGAACAGCGAATTTACTCATTTGGACGACTAGCTGGGCGTTGGGCGCAGTGCCGTGGGAGGACATCTGCTTCCCTCCCCCGGACCTGACTCTCAGTTCACACCCACAGGACAGGTGAAGCTGATGGAGGGGCCCCAGGTGGGGGCCCAGCAGCACCCCCAGGGATTTGGGGTCAGCCCCAATTCCAGTGCTCCTCCTTCCCCACTTCTAGGGATCCTTGAGGTCCCAAGGCCACCCCAGGGGACACACTTCCCTCCCTCCAGCTCCTGCCACTTGGGACAGCCCACCCCTACCTTCTTCCAACCCCTCAGCCTGGGGCTCTGCTCCTCTCACCAGGCCACCCCCACTCTGCTGGCTTCTCCCTTCCATCTGTGCGATGTGACTTTGCCATACTCTGAAACCCATCCCTGACACCTGTACCCGAGGTAGCCTGCTGGCTCTCCTCTTCCCATTCATTTGTCACCTCCACAGTTGCCAAAGGGCTCCTCACCCCAGGCCTTATCAGACCAGACGGGATGGCAGCTCTCCTCCCTGGTACTACCCCCAGCCCTGTAACCCCAAGCTCTGGCACTTTAGGGCCCCCATGCCCACCTTTAAGTCACAGGCAAAAGAGAAGGAAGCATATTGGTAAGAACTTTATTCATGGTCACAGAACACCCACAGGAGGGGAAGGACCTGCTGGCAGGGAATATCCGTGACTGGTCAGTTTCTGAAGAAGGTGAGATGCTTGTCCTGGGGTACAGGAAGGAGGGACATGTGCTTGGGGGTTTTTGGTGTGCACTGCCAGCTATGGCCCCCCTGTAGAGAACAAGGCACAGCCTTGTCTGCCTGTCCTGGAGGTCAGGCAGCTTGTGAGTGGAGTCCCATAACCCCCACCAAACCCTTGTACAATGGGGTTTTCCACTTCTGAGACCCCCAAAGTATGGGGTATCTGAGGCCCACCCCACAGCTGAGCACCATCACCTTCCCCCATGACGGGATCCTCAGAACGAGCCAGTGTCAGCTGAGCAGAACCAAGGCCGAGAGCAGGGGGCCTGGTGTGCCTGCTGCCCACCATGCCCCTCACCTAGCAGGGGTGGCCACCCGACCCAGAAGCTCCAGGGGCACCAGGAAGGGGTTCAGAGGGCAGATGCCAGCTGCTTGCCAGGGCGATTTCAGTTTGCTGCGCTCTGCCTTCTCAGGGGCTGGGCGGGTCTCCTCTGGTGCCTTGGAGGCAGCCCCGTCCCCCTCAGCCGCAGGGTCCAGGCTCTCTCCAGTGGGGCTGGGCTGGGGGGCTGTCAGGCGTAGGTATGTCTCCATCATATGTTCAACCAGGGCTGTGCAGGGCAGGAGAGGCAGCTCTTCTGGAAGTGACATGAGCAGGTCGAGGACCACAGCGGACTCTAGCGATGGATGGAGGAGAGGGATAAGGGGACACCCTTGCCTGCCACCAGGAACCCTGATCCCTCTGCCCCTGCCCCCTCTGTCACCCTTCTCACCAGCTGCTGAGAGCTCAGGCCCGCGGCCACTGCGGGAGAAAGAGGACAGGTACTTGTAGATCTTCTCAAAGTCCACAGTGAAGTCTTCAGTGGAAGGACCAGCCAAGGACTCAGGAGGTTTCTCAGGGGTAGGGCCAGAAGTCTCTGGGGCCGAGCTAGGTGCCTTGGGGGCGGAGCTAGGTGTCTCAGGGGTAGCGTCTTCCTGCCCTCCAGGGACGCTCAGGATTAGTGGCTTTCCATGGGCCTTCGTGGGCTTGGGGGGCCTGGAGTGTAGTAGGGTGATGGGTTCCGTGGCCGCGATGGTGAGCACCTGGCAGGCAGAGCAATCAGGTAGGAAGGGGAGCTGGGAAGTCCTCCGACCATCTACACATTCCCCCATCTTCCCTGCCACTGTTAAGACAGACTGCTTAGACAGGAGATGGCCTCAGAGCCAGGGACACTGAGGCTCCAGGTGTCCAGTGACTGATGGACGCCACAGAGCTGGCAACGGGAAGGGCCCTGGACCCAGGTTCACAAGATTTGGCTCATGTGACCCTGTCCTCCGGGACACCCTGACCTGCCTGGGGGATGGCTGTACCTGTGAGAAAGCCACTGCCAGGGCTTCCTCAAGTGGCCCTGTTATCTTCTCAGCCAGATCCGTCCAGACCTGAGTGAAGCCAGAGGTACAAGGTCAGCCCAGAGATCAGCCTGCAGGGATCCCCCAAGCCCTGCCCCTCCAGGGGATACCCTAACCAGTTTATCCCTGCAACTCCCACCTACCCCACGGGGCTGGCCCTGGGCAGCCTCGTCCTGTTCATCTGCCTCACCTCTATGGGAGCTGGGGGCTGTGCCTCCTGGCGCCTTGGTCCCAGAAGGCCACCCGGATGCAGCTTCTGAATGGCCTCCCGGGCTACACGGCCCTTGAGCTGTTGGAGGAAGACCCGGATCTAGGAAGGACAGCAGAGGAGGGCGAATGAGGCTTTGTGAGCTCAGGGCTGCAGCACAAAAGCGAAAGCCCAGTGCCTTGCCTGCTCTGGGCCCAGCCACTGCGTCTTACCTCCTGCTAGTCCCAGTGACTGCCCAGGCCCCAGCCCCACCCAGAGTGTGACCAGCTTCCTAAGAAAGGTGTAAGACCCAGGCCAGTTCCGGCTCCTCCCCGCAGCCAGGACTCAACCCTATGCTGACTACTACCCTACTCAACTCCCTTCTTTGTTCCCTCTGCCCCATTCCCTGACTCTCACTTCAACCTTGTACCAGGTCCAACAACGTAAGTTGCTGCATCTTACCCCCAGTTCATTCCGCCCCTAAGTTTCGCTGTCGACCCACCCACGCCTTACTCCGGGGCTAGCCCTGCCTTGAAGGCTGGCGCTCATCCCGCCCACGCCCCGCCCACGCCTTACTCCCAAACGGGCCCTGCCCTTACGTCTCGTTCTCATCCCGCCCACGCCCCGCCCCAGCACTGTCCCGCCCCTCTGTCTCGCTTATGCCCCGCCCACATCTTACTCTAAAGCTCGCCACAACCTTAAGGCTTGCTATCACCCCGCCCCCGCCCCGCCCCCAAACTCACCCACCCACAGTCCAACCCTCAGCGGCACGCACGCCCAGCCCCCAGCATCGCCCCGCCCCTCCGCTTCACTTATACTCCGCCCCTTAGGCCTCGTTCTCCTCCCGCCCACGCACCGCCCAAACTCACCCATAGACGTCCCCCCCCACCTCAGCCCCACGCCCCACCCCCGACCGCTTACATTCCTGGCCCCGCCCCGCTGGCGCCTGCTGCAGCCTCTCCCACTCCCCGCCCCACCCTAGCCCCGCCTCCAGCTTCGCTCCGGTCCCCGGAACTGCATTTCACCTCAGCCTCGCTCCGTCCTCGCAGCTCCCGGGCCAGCTCAGCGGCCTCCGGCTCCGGCTGGCCCTGCCGCGCCTGCAAGAGTCGCACTAGCTGCCGCTTCTCACGAGCGCTCCAGGTCGCGGGGCCGGTCACCTCGCCCAGATAGCGCGCCGGGGCCGCTCGCCGCCTGGGAGGTGGCTTCATGCCGATCACGAAGATGCAGGCGCTCTGAAGCGGCTTCCCCAGTGGGCGGAGCTACGGGGGCCGCCGAGGCCACAAAGCATCGCGCAGAGGCGAACGCACGTGGGGGCGTGGCTCCGCGTTTGTAGGGCCCCGGGACCCGCCCCAATGAAGGTGAAGGGGAAATTGGCACCAGAACTGGGGCGGGGCGAAGGAGACCCTCAGCCTGCACCTTATCTCATTAATGAAGTAGAGACAGCACCTTGGATCTCGTGCCTCCCTCTGATGCTGGACTAGCTCATGAAGTACTACTGTGTGCTTTGCTTCTCGCAGAGTAAAGGTCAAGTCGTGGTCAAGAGCCTGGGCTCTGGGATCAGACAGGCCTGGGGACTTTGGGCAAGTGATTTAGCCTTGCCGAGCCTCAGTTTCTTCCTCTGTAAACTAGGGCTGGTAGTCAGTCCCACTCTTGTCTATGAAGAGGAGAGTGAAGCTCAGGCAGGAGGGATTTAAGGAGCTTTAGACTAGACTGACAGTCTAAGAAGAGGGCAAAGTCCAGACCAGGAGACTGGAGCAGAAGCAGAAGGTCGAGGTTGAGCGAGGGCAGGGTCCAGGCGGGGCCAGTGGAGAGCGGAGAAGGCCTGGCTTGAAGAAGATCACAGGAGGCCGATGGGCAGGTGTCCGGGTAAGGAGAGGAGGGAATGGGGAGGGCTTATTTTAAAACTTAGGCTTATGGGGTTGGGTGTCTCTTGCTTTTCTTTTTTTTTTTTTTTTTTTTTTAGACGGCGTTTTGCTCTTGTTGCCCAGGCTGGAGTGCAATGGCGCGATCTCTCGGCTCACTGCAACCTCCGCCTCCCAGGTTCAAGTGATTATCCTGCATCAGCCTCCGAATTAGCTGGGATTACAGGCACGCCCTGCTAAATTTTTGTGTTTTTTTAGTAGGGGTGGGGTTTCACCATGTCGGCCAGGCTGGTCCTGACCTCAAGTGATCCACCCATTTTGGCCTCCCAATGTGCTGGGATACAGGTGTGAGCCACAGCGCCCGGCCGGGTGTCGCTTTCTGATTGAGACAAAACGCCCTTGAGGGTCCCATGGCCCTTGAGTGCACACGGGTATGTGGGCGTATGGCTCCCCGCCACAGGCCCCGCCCCTCTGTCAGGATTTCTCAGGAATCCCCCCAAGTCCTGCTCCCAGCTTTCTCCCCAAGCCTTCCCACCCGTTCTCCACCCCGCACCTTGCGCACTCGCCAGAACTTAGTCTAGAGGTTTATTTTGAGCACAGGTGGGAGGAACAGGGGGAGGAGAGAAGCCCAGGGGTCGTGGCCCCATCGGGTCCGAGGTCCAGGGAGGTGGGTCCGGTCCTGTTGGTCTTGGTCTCGAAGCGGTAGCTGGGTGCATCACTGGGTCATGTTGGGGGCGCATCATCCCTGGGAGGGGAGGCTGAAGTTCAGCGATGGAGAAGACGCTACACGGGCCACCCCCTTCCCAGCAGACCACTGGCCTCTTCCATCAGTTTGTATGTCCGGTGAGAGTGGGGGCCAGGTCTGATTGCTGAGTTCTCCTCACCTACTGCCTCTCCTCACCTAATGCCCTTGGCTCGACCCAGAGTCCGCGCCAGCTGGGGGTGACCCACTGCCTGAGTTCGAATTCGAGTTCCACCCAGTGTTGTGACTTTTGACAAGTTATTTAATTCAGAGAATGCCTCATTTTTCTCCTAAAATGGGGATTATAATAGTGTCCACCTGGAGGTTGTTAAGGGAATTCGGTTAGTTCATAGGCGTACCATCTACAACTGTGCTTGGGGACCGGTGCGGTGGCTCACACCTGTAATCCCAGCACTTTGGGAGGCGAGTGGATCACCTGAGGTCGGGAGTTCGAGACCAGCCTGACCAACATGGAGACCACCAAACCCCGTCTCTACTAAAAATACAAAATAAGCCAGGCGTAGTGGCACATGCCTGTAATCCCATCTACTCGGGAGGCTGACGCAGGAGAATAACTTGAACCCGGGAGGCGGAGGTTGCAGTGAGCTGAGATCGCGCCACTGCACTCTAGCCTGGGCAACAAGAGCAAAACTTAGTCACCAAAAAAAAAGAGGAGGCTGAGGCAGGTGGATCATGAGGTCAAGAGATCGAGACCATCCTGGCCAACATGGTGAAACCCCATCTCTACTAAAAATACAAAAATTAGCTGGCCTGTAATCCCAGCTACTCGGGAGGCTGAGGCAGGAGAATTGCTTGAACCTGAGAGGCAGAGGTTGCAGTGAGCCGAGATCGCGCCACTACACTCCAAACTGGCGCCTGACAACAGAGCAAGACTCTGTCTCAAAAAAAGGGGGGGAGGGGACTGTCATCTCCTCCCTCCCCCCAGCTCCCCCCACCTCCATACCTACCTTCCTCTTTAGGGCCTCCTGGGATGGGGGCCGCTGGGCGAGGCTCTCGTGGGCGCGCCGGGGGCTAGGGGCGCTGTAAGGGAGAGGCGGGCTGCAGAAGCGCTGCCGCGCGCCAGGCCAGACTAAGGGCGACCCCTGGGTGCTGCTGCGGACATCGCAGAGGCAGGTCTGGCTAAGGCTGATCAGGCCCTGCACGAGGGATCGCGGCCGCCCCCTGTCTCGACGCACTGGAATAGGCTGCGGGCATGGCGGAGGTCTGTACCTGAGTGCGCGCAGACGAGGCCCAGCCCGGCGGCCAGCGCGGCGCCCAACACAAAGGCTGCCAACACAAGTGCCACCACCGGCGCGGGCTCCAGCGTCGCGGGGGCCGGTGCGGGAGGTTCAGGGCGCACGGCGCGGCCAGGGATGATCTTGGGCGGCCCTGTGGGAAGTGCCACGCTGAGATTGGGTCCAGGATCCAGGTGTCCTTCCCACCCCGCACTGCCGCCCCACGGTCCCCTGCGGAGGAGGACTGCGTGCTCACTGGGGGGCGGCCGCGGCACGGTGACCACGATAGGCTGCGTCAGCGTATGCAGGTGGGGGCCGTAGGCAGCCAGGCTCTCGACGCTGCCACCGCCGGCGCACGCCTCGTCCTGAGGCAGACACTGGGGGAGAGGGAGGTGGGGAACAACCGGCGACATCAGGGCCCCGGGATCTTGGCTCTTGTCCCTAGTGCCCCCGAGAGAGACCTGAGTCCAGCTCTCCACCACAGCCAGGATGGAACCCCTGGAAATCCGGCTGCTTAGAGGTCCCTGCGCCTAGTGGCTATGCATACAAGTGGCTACCAACCCAGCCCCACAAGATCACATGGTCTGTCTCTCCCACGACCTAGCATGTGAGACCCAACCCCAGGTTCCCAGCAATGTGTCCCCTTAGTGGCTTTCTGCATCCAGCCCCCAGCTCTGAAGGATCCCAGAGCCGTCCATGAGGGAACTCAGTGCCCACACTGTCCCCAGAGAAACTGTTGACAGAGATGGGCCACTATGCCCAACCCCTCCACCCCCACCCCCAGATTCTCAGACCCGGAGGGTATCCTCTCTCCACCACCAGACTGGCTTGTGCCCAGCTCCCGAGGGGCCCCGGCACCCAGATTCCAGGCTCTGCGCCTGCGCACTCGCAATGGCGGCGGGGGAGTCAGGGGTGCAGGTGTCCGGCGGACTCTCCGGAGGCGGCGGCAGCGGCTCAGCTGGCAGTGCAGGAACTGCACTGAGGCGTTGAAGACTGGGCGCAGGCGGAAGCTGAAGCGCACAGGGCGGGTGGAACCCGGGCTCGGCGGTGGCGGTGGCGGAAAGGCGACCGAGGCGTCGGCGGGGCAGCCCTCGCGAAGCAGCGCCAGGGCCGGCCCCGGGGCCGGGCGTGAGGACGGCGTCACTGAGCAGCGGTGCAGGGCCAGGCCCCAGCGCTGGGAGGGACGGGCCAATGTCGCCTGGGGGACGAAGGCGCCATCAGAGATCGCCCGTCCCCACCGTCCCCATCCGCCCCTGGTGTCCACGGTTGGTAACCACCTGCACGAACACGCGGCTGTCGGCCGGGACCTCGAGCGGCCCCGCGCGGCGAGGGAAGACATCCTCTGTGTCGGACAGCTTCAGACTGAAGAGGGGTCTGCGCAGCCAGGGGCCGGGCGCCGCGGGGAACTGGGGCGCTGGCAGGGGTAAAGGGCGACCCAGAGGAGAGAAAACGTGCGCTGCCCTTCAGGCCTCTGGGAAAAGTGTCCCGACCACCTCGCCCCCGCCGCCGCCGCCTTTGGAAAAGGGATATGGTTGCGGCAGCGGGTTCACCCATGTTGGGCTCTGCCCCACGTTACCCCTGACGGTAATGCGCCCCCTGCCGACCCCAGCGACCCGCACAGCCCAGCAGCTGAGCAGGGTGCAAAGCCGTGCACCCCTAGAGAAGCCTCCGAAGTTGGCAAGGGCCTCCCTGGGGCGGAAGAGAAACAGTGAGGAGCACCAGATGGGGGGATCAGGCTGAGTGAAGTGAGAGGCCCCCCACCTTCCCCTTGGCTGCTTTCGGGGACACAGCAGGACCTGCGACTCCCCTTTCTAAGGGTATATAGGTGCTGTCACCAACAGGGAAGGGGAGTGAAGAGGATACCCTCCCTAGAGGCTCTCACAGGCACAGCCAAAGCCCAGCTAAGCCACCAAGATTGGAACTCTTCAACTTGTCCAGGCTGAGGGTAGTCATGGGGTCCCCTCCTCTCTCCGTGACCCTAAACACACACTCATGTCTGTCTTCAGGAGGTGCTGAGCAGGGTTCTGGTAAAATGGATAATCTCCAAACACAAAAGATCACCTGTACATCACATCCGTTTGTTTTTTTTTTCCCCCCTCTGAGACAGGGTCTACCTCTGTCCCCCAGGCTGGAGTGCAGTGGTGCGAATACTGCTCACTGCAGTCCTCCAACTCCTGGGCTCCAGCGATCCTCCAACTTCAGCCTCTCGAGTAGCTGTGACCATAGACGCCACCACAGCCATATGGAGTCTATGTTGCCCAGCCTGGTCTGCAACTCCTGGCTTCTCTAAGTGCTAGGATTATAGGCATAAGCCCCCCGCCTCCATCCCCACTCCCCCCCACCCCAACTCCTGAAGAGCACCTGGCTAGGCTGGCCGCTTCCCACAACCCTGGCCCTCTCTGTGACTGCAGGGAACTTTGCTGAAGTGGGGATGTGAGCCATCCGTGGGATGGGGAGACAGAGGAAGATCCCACCCCACTCCCCTGCCCCCCACCCCCAGGGGGAGGAGGGCCAGAGGTCTAGTTGAAAGAGGGTAACGATGGTGGGCACGGTGGCTCACATCTGTAAGCTCGCACTTTAGGTTGAGGCAGGCAGATGGCCTGAAGTCAGGAGTTCCAGACCAGTCTGGCCAATATGGGGAAATGCCATCTCTACTAAAAATACAAAAATTAGCCGGGTGTGCTAACGCATGCCTGTAGTCCCACCTACTCAAGAGGTTAAGGCAGGAGAATCACTTGAACATGGGAGGTGGAGGTTGCAGTGAGCAGAGATCACGCGCCACTGCACTCCAGCCTGGGAGACAGAGCAAAATTCCATCTCAAAAAAAAAAAGATAGTGACACAGAGCTAGAGCATGACAGACCCATCACCTCCCTGCCCATACATACCAGGTGGCCCGCTGGGCACAGTGGTGATCCCCGGGAGTAGGGCCAGCAGCAGCAGCATGGTGCCCAGCATGCTGACTGGCTGAGGTTGGAGTGTTTGGGGCCAGAGCAGACGCACCAGCTGGGCTGCACCAAGGCCCTGAACGTGGGCAGGTGGCCCTGTCCTTGGCCAGGAAGGAGGCAGGGAGCGGGGGTGGCGCAGACTAAGGGCTGACACCAGAGCCAATGACCAAGGCCTGGGGGGATTAAGTGATCCTCCGCTGCCCGACCTGGGGATAATGGTGGCAGGGGTGTCCCTATGTTGGCTGCTTGATAGCTCGCACCCAGCTCCCAAACCTGCCTCAGTCTCCCCTCAATGCAAAGGCCTCATCCACTAGAATGCCCCCCCACCCACACACACACCCTTTCCACCTCACCCTGCCAGACCCACAACACACCACAGACTGTGGAAGAAAAGGGAGGGGTTTATTCTCAAGCGCCTAAGGGTTTACAAACGAGGGCATTTTGTTTTAAAAAGGGGCAGGGCAACACTAGCAGCCTGAGGAGGAGTCCGATGGCTGGTAGTCCGCTGGCTGGTGGGCTGGCCTGAGCCGCCCCCAGGCCTCTGCCCACCCGGTCTGCCTGATCCAGAGGGATGGCTGGTGACGAGGGGGGAGGTCTTGGGAGAGAGGCAGGGAAGCAGGAGACTCCCCCAGGGCTCCCCAGTTAACACTGAAGGGGGTGAGGGTGGGCGGACACACACTCAGGAAACAGAAAATAAAGTTAAATAAAACCAGGCAGCCTGGTCTTGGGCCTGTTCGGGCCCTGGGACCAGCCATGCGACCTTCCAGCAATCCCCAGAGGCCCCCACAGCTGGACCCAGGGGAGGAGGAAAGGGCCAGGCATATTGGCACTGCCCTCACCACCCCCCCCCCCGCCAGCAGACCCCCACCCCTGACACAGAGGCCAACAGGCAAGAGAAGGTGGCCTTGCCCCTGGGAGCAGAGAAACCATGACGTCTATGACTTTAAACCTGCGGCATTTTGTGAATAGCGTAACAGGAGTCAACAGGCTAGGTGAGAGGAGAGCGATGACGCCTGTGTGGCCTCCGCCAGGGCCAGCCAGCTTCCACGCCTTTCGTGTTGTTTTTTTGTGGTTTTACGGGGTTTTTTTTTTTCTTGTCCACTTGATTTGCATGCAACACCCACAAAAACAAAATACCCCCTCCTGCTCTGGCCACCCCAGCGGGCTCCAGGGGCACCCTGGCCTGGGCCCCCGGTGCACACCCGATTTTTCCCAGTCCCGGGTCTCATCGGAGGCTGGGCCAGGTGTGCGTGAGTAGAGGGACAGCCAGGGGCACGACGGAGGGTGATGGCCTCACACCCCACCCTCAGCCAGCCCCTGCCGGGGCCTGTCACCCGTCCTCGAATCCCCACATCCACTCTCTGCCCTCGATCCCTGACTCCTTCCGGACCCCTCCCTTGGCCCATGGCCCTGCTCTGTCACCAAGTCCCTCTGGTCACCTGCTCTGCCCCAAACCCACCTTCCCTGAAGGCCATCTTGTGTGGCCAGGGCCCCGCAGACCCCACTGCACCCCGAGGTCTTCACCCCCAAGCTGTGGCCCCAGAGCAGCAGCCCCAGCCCCCCAGTGCCCGACGGAGGTTGGGGGCCCCACCACAAGCAGCTAAACGTGACTTTGGTAAAAGTTTCTGAAGGTACCGACAAACCCCTTGAAAACAAGCTCTCCTCCACCCCCACCCCAAACACCCCACCAAGTACAATAAAATACAATAAACTCCAAAAAGGACCCCCTGAGATCAAAGAGAGAAAAAGAGAGTGCAGCCCTGTCCAGCCGCAGTCCAAATGCCCACACCGCCTTTCTGGGGGCCACTGACTCATTGCTCCATGGGAGACCTAGGCAGACCCAGGGGTCCCGTCGGGAGGGGACTGGGCCCAAGCTCAGGCCAGAAGAGAGACAGAGGCAGGAAGGGTGACGGGAGAGCCAGACAGGGACAGAGAGGTAGAGCAGGGGACAGAGGGCAACAGAGAGGGAATGGGCGTGTGAGGGTGGTGGAGGGCATGGCACGCTGGGAGCTTGGTGGCTGCAGGACTTGGGGGCTCTCTCCTGGCCCCTGGGGGCCACCGTGGCCCAGAGGCTGCAGCTGAATGCACAGCGACTCTGCTCGCGGCCTGCTGTCTTCCGTTCACAGTGTCTGTCGGGGGACGCACGTGGCCGGCTGACCCCAGGGCGGGAAGCGGATGGGCACCCCCCACTCTCTGTCCTCAGCCCTCAGTGGCCGTCCAGGTCCCAGGTCTCCCCTCGAGGGCAGCTGGGTGGCCGGGTGGGGAAGGGGGCCTTTGGCCATGCCCCTGGCCCCCTGTGGGGCTGGCCGATGCCACACGGCTACCTGAAGAAGGGCAGGTGCGGCTGGCTCAGGACGCTGCTAGTCCGCGGTGACTCAGTCTTCGCCATGACATCCTTGAACCAGGACGCCACATCCACCTCCAGCGTCTCATAGCGCTTGATGAAGCTGTGTTCCTGTGGGCCCGATGGGGTGGGGCTTAGGAGGGGGGTCTTCCCTCCTGGCCTCAAGCCTCCAAGGGACGGGGATGGGACTGGGACCGGGACTGGGAGGGCCACAGGTACTCACAAGTAGCTTATTATACTTTGGTCTCTTCCTGTGATCTTTAGTAAGGCTAAAGGAAGAAAAAACAGATGTGAGCGCTAGGGAGGAGGGGATGGTGGGCAACACCCCCCCCCCCACCGTGCCTATGCTCAGGTCCTCCCTGAAGAGCCAGGGGTCCCCAAGATCTGTGTGGGGAAGGAGCTGCAGATGTCCTCAGGACCCCTGCTGACAGCTGGGAGCAACTGTGTGTTTCTGAGCCTTGAGGCCTAGGTCAGGTGGCAAGGGCCTGGCTTGGGGAGCCAGAACTGGCTGAGGTCCCCTAGAGAGGCAGGTGGGGCTCCCCTGAGAAAAGCAGACATGGAGCTCCTGCACTTGTAGCTGTGCTTAAAGAAGGGTGCTCGCCGGGCGCGGTGGCTCAAGCCTGTAATCCCAGCACTTTGGGAGGCCGAGGCGGGTGGATCACGAGGTCAAGAGATCGAGACCATCCTGGTCAACATGGTG